AGTAAAAAATAACCCTTCCAATCCTCCTCAGGTTTTTGGCTACTGTTGCCTCTCCAGTGCCCACTTAGAGACTTTATCTACCAGGAGGCCAGCTACCAGGTTTCAGGAATCCTCAAAAACATCCTTCTAACCTAGTTGTCTCTCTGCCGGGACAGTTCAGACGCGCAAAAAATTGTACCATCCCCCCAAAGGCACTGGTGCAAAAGGCACAGATCCTGCACCCCAGGGACCGCAGTCAGTTCCAGGCAGGCACTTCTGCTGAGCCCATGTTCAGAAGTTCTAAGTATATACATATATATATTTTTTGGCAGTACTGGGGATTGAACTTAGGGCTTCACACTTGCCAGGCAGGTGCTGTACCACTTAAGCTCTTTTTTATGTTGGAGAACTCAAAATATAAAGGCTGTGTTAGAAGTGCAGGCACCTGCAAATGAAACTGAGAAGCAGCTGCAGGCACCCTTGGTAACCTTGAGCAGCTGGCTCCAGGGCTGTTCCTCATTCCTTACGTAACGTGGACACCACCGACATGTGACCTACACACATCTTCCCATGCTATTCACAATGCCCAATACACAGCAAGTTCTATGGAAATAGTTGTTGTGGTGAATTGTTTAAGGAATAATGACAAGGACAAAAGCCCATATGTATTTAGTACAGATGCAATTATTTTTTCAGAATATTTCCACCTGATGCCTTTAGTTCACAGTTGCAAAAACCCTGGATACAGAGGGCTGACCATAAGGGGAAAGGAGAGCCAGTAAAGCTCAAGGTGTGCCATCTTGGAATAACAACCTCTTAGCACCAAAACCAAGAAAGAAAAGGGTTTTAAGAAGGAAATGGGCCAGGCATCCATGCCTCATGCCTGTAATCCTAGCTATTCAGGAGGCAGAAATCAGGAGGATCAAGGTTTGAAGCCAGCCCAGGAAAATAGCTCGTGAAACCCTATCTTAAAAAAATCCATCACAAAAAAGGGCTAGTGGAATGACTCAAGGTGAAGGCCCTGAATTCAAACCCCAGTACCACAAAAAAAGAAAAAAAAAGAAGGAAATGGCCCAGTGTGCTGCTGAGTGCTGCTCAGGACTGCAGTGGATTGAGCAGGGAGGCTGCTGGTTTTGATATGGGCAGTCTAAATAAATGCATCTTGAAATTAATGTGGGCAACAAAGTGGGTATGAGCCAAACCAGGGCACAATCTGTATACACAGAAATTTAACAACAAAACCACCTGTATAACTATCACATACTAATGAAAATATCTGAAAATAAAGAAAAACAAGGTTTGAGGTATTTGGGAATAACCAAGCTTCCCTTGGAAACTTGCTTCTCTTGTGAATCACTGCTGTTCTCCAGGTCCTCAGCCCAAACATCCTGGTGTCACCCTTGACTTCTCTATTTAGCTCCTACCTCCACCCCACCAGTAAATCCTGCCAGCATTGACTTCAGAACATACCCGCAATCTGGCCTTGTCTCATCAAGGGTTTAGTTGTCATGCTAGCATCAGTCCCTGGATTTCTGTAACAGCCTCATAATTAGTCTCCCCAGCTCTCCTCCTCCCTACCTATTGGCAAATTTTCAACACAGCACTCAGAGTGACCGTTTCAAAGTCAGGCTGGTCACAGCCTTCTGGTCGAAGCCAGCGATGGCTTCAGACACATGATCAAGTAAAAGTTAAACCCTGATAGGACCATAAGGACTTAGGCAATCTGTCCTCAACACTCAGCCCTCCTCCCCTTCCTGCCATCACCTCAATCTCATCTCCTCAAGTCCTGGGGCTCAGCTCTACTAACCTCCTCCTTCCCAACTCGTAGCTGGGCTCTCGCTGTTCCCTGCCTGCATGTGCCACAGAGCTAGCTCTCAACTGCAGGGTTTCGCTCACTGTGTCCTCCAGCTCCTTCCTCCGCTGTATATGCATAACCACTTTGCGTGCTATATACGCTACTTGCTTGGTAATTTAAGGACTAAGTTTCCCTGTCTTACCACTTTGAGGTTTGTATTTATTTTCTTGGCACTTCAAATAATGCTTGACACTCAAGAAAAATTTGATGAATGAGTGGTGAACTCCAGTGGACCAGGAAAAGAATGAGAGGTGAGGTAAGGAAGTACAATCAGCATGTGTAGAAAGGTGACTGTGAAAGGGAACAGAAAAACGTACAGTAAGCTGGAAGGCATATGGGATCCAAGAAGAAACTTTGTTTTTCAATGGGATATATGACCTCACTGCCCTAACTATAATTTATGCTGACTATAGCCTAAACTAAAAGGCTTGTTCATGTATATATATACCTTTAATGACAGATACTTGTCTTCTCTTTGTCGTGTGTTGGATAATGAACAGCCTTGCCCGCCAGGCAATTAGCACCCAATAATGATGACTCGTTGGGAAATGATTTCAGGTAGTGCCATCATACACGCTAAAACTTTATTTTTGCTTCTCTGGACTGGAATATTATTTGCTTATGGCTAAGTAAATTTAATATAAATAGAAGCATAGAGACACTAAACAATTTGCTAAAATGTCACACTTCTACTAAGTGATGGGGTTGGCATTTAAGTCCAGGCAGCTATGGACTTAAGTCTGTGCCCAAAACAACCATGCTGAATGTGGAACATGTGTACCATGTGATATGGGGCAGGCAGAGAGGAAAGGGGACAATAAAACAAAAAGAGGCAACGAGCAGGTGCAGTGATGCAATATTCTACCTAGGTACCTTTGGCCAGACATCCTGCCCTTCCATCATCCTGGAGTACATTGAACACAGTTGAGGTTACTTCTTGGTCCAGTGGCCAACAGTCCCCAGCAGGGGCTCCCCCAACTCTGAAGGTTGTCCAGAGGTCTCATCTACATCTCTTAATAACCGTGGCTTCACACATACACCTCCCCTCAAATTGCCATGCTGCTTCCGAAAATACCTTTTTAGGCAAAACCACTCCCAGGTTCCAGTTCTTGGAAAAGCCTTCTCATTTCTAAGAAAACTTTACAACTGCATAATTCTCTGCCCTTGAGGATGGGGGGGACCTGTGGATATAATGATATCATTCCCTTTTTATATGACATCATGATGGGATAGACACACCCATGATTATTGTAGCTTTCAGACTAAAGGGGTAATCTACCTTTGAAGAGATATACTGCCCTTGAAGAAGCTGCCATGGAGGGACAGCCCAGTTTAGAATATTCTGCCTGTGGCTTACAGCCTGAGAGTGGGCTCTAAGAGCTAAGAAGGGCCCCAGTTGACAGTCGTCAAGAAAAAGGGAAACTTAGTCCTATAATTGCAAGAAACTGAATTCTGCCAGTAATCTTAATGAGCTTAGAAGACCTCATGCCCCAGATGGGACTGCATCTTTGGTCAACCTGGTGAGACTGAGTGGAGAGTGTGGCTAACACATGTCAAACTCCTGACCAGTGAAAACTTGGAGATAATAATGGGTGTGTGTTAAGCCCCTAAATTTATGGCAATTTGTTATATAGTAACAGAAAACCAAACCACAAGTCAGTATTCATCCCTTAAGCACAGTTGGAGACTTGAGATTGCTGTTAAAACACATTACTCCAAGGGTAATAATGGAAACAGGTTTTCTTGCTGTTTTGGTTTGGTTTTGGGTGGTACTGGGATTTGAACTCAGGGCCTCCTATTTGCCAGGTAGATGCTCTACCGCTTGAGCCATGCCCCCAGCCCTTTTTTGATTTAGTTTATTTTACAGATAGGGTCTGGAGCTTTTGCCCAAGCTGGTATAGGACTGAGATCCTCCTACCTCCACCTCCTGTGTAGCTGAGATTACAGCTGTGCATCACTACATTTATAACAGAGTTTTTAATTCTGAATTGTCCTGATCCACAGTCTTTCATTCTTCCACATTTTTCATTATGATTTCCCAAGGATTTTTATGGAAATTTCAAAACTCCAGTCAAATGTTACTTCTTAAAGTGAGCATTTCCTTGTAGCCAACCCCTCCACTCCTAAGCAGTCCCCTGCTGTTTCCATGGCAGCTATGTGTATGCACATTTACCAAAACATTTGCCAGGTTGCTCTGAAATAACTTTTATGTCTATCCCCACCCCCAGACTGTGAGTCTCAGGACACAGTTGCCCAGTCCCCTGCAGAGTGCTGAATAGTTGAATGCTGAGTGAATAAAATGAGGCCCTGGATAAACACAGTCTTTTGGTACCAGCCAGTGACTGTTTCTTTTCCAGCACAGTGGGTCAGTCCTTGTGTGTTAATGGAAACTCAGAAAGCCTTCTCCATGACAACATCTGGGTGACTATCCAAGCACTTCCTGCGTGAAAGGGGCAGGTGTTTACTGTCTCAAAAAAGTGGTCAGAAATTATAGGCGTGCTTGAACCAGGTGCCAAGACAGATTTGGATTCGTCCTAAGAGGGACGGCAGGAAGCCCTGTCTGATGAGTCTGGGTTCAAGCCCTATGCTACTTGCGTGCTTGCTCATTCAAATTACTTGTGTCAGTCCACAACTGAAATCAAATGTCAACCTCAACGCACAACTCAGATCGGCTTTACTCAGTGGCTTAAAACTCTGGACAACAAGACAGAAATGGGAATCATGTATCGACAGTATTCATAGCATTCACAGGGCCCTGGTCAGACAGTATTTAGGAAATCACACACAGGCAAAATTATGCATGGTCAGCCATCAGGAATAGTATTTGCTAGATGTGTGTTTTGAGAAAATTCAGAGAGAGAATTCACATTTTTCTTTGAACAAGCATTTCCTTATAGCCATCTCCTATGAGTAAGACTCTCTTAATAAATAATTAAAACAACAAACAAATGAAGTACAGCTTTCTAATAAAAGGTTTACAGTCACGTTCCCAGAAACTTAGGAACTTAGAAAAACTCAGGAGAGAAATGGTCTTGCCACCCTCATGTGGGTGTGTGTATGAGTGTGTACTCTGCAGAATGAGAGGGAAAACACAGAACACAGAGTCTCAAAATGTTACTTAAAATTACTTAAAATGCAAATGGAGACTCAAGAACACAGTAAGTACCTTCGATGCTCTGTGGACCCACAAGATTCATGGCCTGGTGAGCTGGATACTCCACCCGGGGCCTGGCGATGCCCAGCTGCTCCATAACGCCATGCAGCAACCTCTGCATGTCTGATTCTGAGACCCGGTCTGGGGTGCGAGGGCTGTAAGCAAATGCAGGACTCCCTCCAACTGCCAGCCAGAGCAGTAGGCCACACAGCATGGCGAGGACCAGCCTGGAGACCATTCTTAACCTGCGGGAATATATGACCAGGTTTATGGCAATTGACCACAAATGTCAACTGTGATAACAGGACTGTGATGTAGTCATGACCCACTACCGGTTGTGGTTCAAGGACAGCCCAGCAAGAGCCTGCCATGAGAAATCCCTAGAGGTCTGCTTTTGACCAAGTGTTCAGGAAAGGCAGGACATCACTGTGGGGAGACGTTTAAAGATACAAAATAGTCTAGGGTAAGCAGCTCCCCCCTGAAATTGCGTATGTGCGTAATCTCGGCAGGAAAGGCAGCTCTCACGCTTACTGTGCTCCTTGTAACCCCGCCATTCTCTCCCTCCAGTATTAAAACAAAAACTTCCTTTGTTTTTGAGAAAGAGAGGGTGACATCTTGAGTTTCCCCAGTTTGAAGGAAAATAAGGCCACTGAGAAGCAGTTAGGAAGTTACAAACGGTAAAGAAGGTCAGAAAACTGAGGACAAGTGACCGACAGCACTTTAACTTAGCAAACGAAGAATACATTTAAAATCCCAAGGGTGGCAAGTGTCCTCAGTTCGGGTCTTGTCCTGCAACCCCGTAGGACTTGGGGTGTGCAGGCTCAGCCTGTACTGCCTGGGGATCGTGGGCAGCACCTCGGCTTTCTCTTCTGCATAAACAGGGCAGTGAAGCGTGAGTCTTACAGGGCCGTGTGCAAACACACGGAAAAGGACTTGGAGCAATGCCAGGCACACGAGACCCTCTCCTGCTGTCAAGATGCTGGGAACATTGCCTTGCAGCTCAGGGATGAGAGAAGACCGACCACGTGAAGGGGCGGAGAAACCCTGAGCAGAGGCCTGCGCGCCTGCAGGCAGGGTAAGGGGCAGCAGCTCCCCGCAGCCGGGCAGCAGCAGCGGGCTCTGCCGGTGCACACGGCCCGGGGCTCAGGAGCCCGGAGACCACCCGTGCATTTTCTATCCCAAAACGGAAACATTCACACCATCCCATTTCCTTTTCTGCAGAGAAAAGGCGTTTCCCAGCCACCCCTGGGAATGAACCCTTGCTCCTCAGAAGGCCGAGAACCGCTCTGTTTTAACAGCACTCCCGCAGTTGTGATGAAGGGGGCGGCGGACTCGGCCTCGGGCCATCTTCGTCTTCCCCTCGGGCTCCAAGCGCCGGGTGTCCGCTTCCCCCACCCCAGCCATCGCGTTCTGATTTGACGAACACGCAGTCGCCTCCCGCGGGCCTCGTGTCCCCGCATCTACCACACCATTCCTTATGTCACTCCCCCATCCCCATCCCCACGCCCACAGGACTCGCAGGTCGGCGGGGCCCAGCGCGCACCGCGCGGCACTCACCGGGGACAGCGCGGAGTCTGCAGCAGCCTGGGCCTCGGTGCTGTGCGCAGAGCCGCGCGCTGGACAGCTCCCGCCCCGGCCCCGCCCCCACGGCGGGAGGGGCTCCCCAGCCCCCGCCCCGCCTCCCACGCCTCGGCCCCGCCCCCTCCCCGCCTCCCGCAGTGGGAGGGGGCTCCTAGAGCTCCTGCGCCATCGCTCCGCCCCGCCCCCGCCCTAGCAGGTGGAGGGGATCCCCTAAATTCCTCACCCCGATGCGGTGACTTGGTGTCAGGAGCGCCCTGGGTCCCCACCGCGTGTTCTGCGTGTGACCTCCTGGACACCTCTTCCTCGTCCACCCCCACGGCGCCTTTGATCTCATGCGACTCCTTAAACCACTGCCAGATCGCCAAGCACGTTTAGCTTTGTCACCTCTAGAACTGAAGAGCTCGGTTTTGTTTACATCTTTTAGCTTGAAGAGGAGCAGGCAGTGGTGGGAGTGACCAGCAGGATGAAGTCCCAGGGACTTTTCACAGTGGCCACGACGCGGCGCACACTTTCAGGAGCCCTTTAAGCGAACAGAAGCATGGAGTATATATTTAGCACAGGACTCTTGGAAACCTCTAGGAGCCTTAGCTCTGTTACTTTTCTCTTTCCTTCTTCTGCCACATTTTTATTAAAGTAACAAAAAAGTGTATTTGTCCACAAAGCTGCACGTTCTTCTGCATAAAAGCACTATAATTAGTGACCTTTGTCTTCTGTCAGAATAGCTTTACAAACTCGCTGTTCTTGCTGATGCTTAATGGAGACTGGCCTGCCTAACAGTCCAGCTGTCTGTTTGCTTTTAAATGAACTTCAGAAAGGAGAGGAGACAGGAAGACTAGGAATGAGACCAGGAGTCCGCATCTAAAAATGAAGATGCAGGGACGGTCTGCAGAGACTCAACCTTGTCTCAACCCACAAACCGGGAAAATAGCTTTTGAGTCTCTGGGCCCAGAATTAACCTTGAAGCAGTAAGGACCAGAAGCAGCCCCCTGGGAAGAAGGCAGGAAAGCTGGAGTTCAAAGAGGCAGAACTGGTCAAAACTGAGTAAGGAAATCCAGGAAAGGGTGGGCTGCTGGGTGAGGAAAGGGGTGGTTTGAGGCAGCTCCCCACTAACTGGGAGCAGCAGGAGGGCAGACAGGCTGACCAGGTACTGTTATAAGATGATCGGGTTTAATCATCAGAAACACCACCAACAACAGGTGTTGGCAAGGATGTGGGGAAAAAAGAACCCTTATACACTGCTGGTGGGAATGCAGACTAGTACAACCACTCTGGAAAAAAAATTTGCTTCTTAAAATTCTAAACATAGACCTGCCATATGATCCAGCAATATCACTCTTGGGGATATACCCAAAAGAATGTGACACAGGTTACTCCAGAGGCACCTGCACACCCATGTTTATTGCAGCACTATTCACAATAGCCAAGTTATGGAAAACAGCCAAGATGCCCCACCACTGACGAATGGATTAAGAAAATGTGGTATTTATAAACAATGGAATACTACTCAGCTATGAAGAATGAAATGTTATCATTTGCAAGTAAATGGATGGAACTGGAGAACATAATTCTGAGCGAGGTTAGCCTGGTCCAAAAGACCAAAAATCGTATGTTCTCCCTCATATGTGGACATTAGATCAAGGGCAAACACAACAAGGGGATTGGACTTTGATCACATGATGAGGCAAGAGCACACAAGGGAGGTATGAGGATAGGCATGAAACCCCAAAAAAACAAGATAGCATTTGATGTCCTCAATGCAAAGGAACTAATGCAGAAACTTCAAAGTGACAGAGGCCAATAGGAGAAGGGAACCAGGAACGAGAAAAGGTTAGTTCGAGAATTAATTTAGAATGTAACATATATGTATAGGAAAGCAATGTGAGTAAACTCCCTGCATAGCTATCCTTATCTCAACTAGCAAAAACCCTTGGTCCTTCCTAGTATTGCTTATACTCTCCAACAAAATTAGAGATAAGGTCAAAATAGTTTCTGCCTGGTAGCCAGGGGGTGGGGGGAGGGGGAGGGGGCGGGAGGAAAGGGAGGGGGCGGGAATGACCCAAACATTGTATGTGCATATGAATTAAAAAAAAAATGATCGGGCTTAGAGCCTCCAGGCCTGGGACCCCTCATCAATGTCACAGAAACGGAAGGAAATGGATATCTTCCATTTTTGTCTGACCCAGAATGGCAATAGTTTGCAGTTCTATAGACAGATTTGATTGTCTAGAGACAGCAACCTCTTCCACGGGTGCGAGGACCAAGGAGAAAAAGCAGTGTCACATTTGGTGTGTAGTGCCAGCCCCAGAATGCCAAGCAGGCCTGAGGAACATGGAAGCACTCTCCAGTTCAGCCCAGGAAGATCCCATCCCATCCAGGGGAGAGCAGATGGCTCCCTAAGCCTACCAGGGTGCCAGAGTGATTCTTAAACCTCCACATTATCAAGAGAAGCCACATTCCCGGCACATTGCAGAAACAGTCCAAGTAGACCCGGATATTTTTTGGCAGTCTGGGAACGAGTGTCATGGGATTCCAACTCTGGAAAGAAATTTGAATAGGGTTGCTACATCCAGCAGGGGGCTGGGGGTGGGAGTGTGTGTGTGTGAGTGTGGAGAAATCAACAAAAAATTAGGGATGAGTAAGTACCTAGGAAACAATAATTAAATTGCTGGATGAGGTGAGTCCAACCTCCTCACCATAGCTCCACATAACAAACCCACTATCATCTACAGTACAGCATCTTTATGCAATGAATAGCAGCTGGCAGAACTCATCCATGCGACACAGGGTCTTTTGTTTTTAAAGCCAAGCGTCCTTCGTGGTTTTTTCTTCCTTGGCCACTCTTGTATCTAGCACACTAAATCACGAGATACTTCCTACTTTGCAGTTCTGAATTTTACTTCAGCGTTGTTCACTGTTGTCTTCATTTTGTGTGTGGAAAATCAACTGCTACATTGTTTTTGTGCTGAATGAAAAATTGAGACATGCCAGACATACCCACTGCACCCAGCATCATGTGAAAACTTTATTCCAACTGATTAATATCAGAGATGTTTAGAGTCAGTTTCAGAGATTTCAGACCACAGTCTTTTGCTGTTGATTCTGGGCCCCCTGGTAAGGCAGAACATTATGGTGACAAAGTTATGTGAAGAGGCTATTTCACCAAGGAAGGGTCCAGGCATAACCTTCAAAGGATGACTCCACTGACCTACTTCCTCCAACTAGGTCTCACCTCCTGAAGTTTCCTGAAACTCCCAAAACAATGTCACCAGGTATGGACCAAATGTTCAGCATATGACCCTGTGGGGACATTTCATACTCAGACCACAGCATGGGGTCTCACTATGTCGTCCAGCCTGGCTTGAACCCCCAGGCTCAAGTGATCTTCCTACCTCAGCCTCCCAAGTAGCTGGGACTATAGGCACACACCACTGTACCTGGATAAAATTTGGTATTTTAAAAATAAAGCATATCATTTATATCCTGGACTTGACGATTATCAAAATTCACATTTTTTTAGTCAAATATTTAATAGTTCTGAGAAAGGACTGATTCCCAGGTAATGAGTAGAGAAAACAGGAAATAGCTTTAACATAAAACAGATGTACGATCACTTAATGAAGTGGAACACCACTTTATGCACTCGTCTGATGACGCACACCATAAGCATGTGTGCCGTCCTGCTCTGTTCTGCTCTGGCATCTAAAACTTGACATTCTAACTTCTCACCTGCAAAGCTATCTTCAGTGGTTGACTCTGTAGACTTATTCCTTTCTCTTTCATATCCACAGGACATGCTTATTGATCATAATATTCTTTAAGCCTATAGTTTCTAATACTTTAAAATACAAATTTCGACAGATTTGCTTGACAATTTGATTCCGCTTCCAATTGGCACTTCAACTTTCATTAGTCTCAGGCAAGTTATTTTCCAGAAGTTATCTTTAATGTCTATCCTAAATAAATAACACTTAGACACAAGATAAAAACCATCAGAGGTTTTTATCCAAATAAAACAGAGACAACTATTCAAATTCTAAAATTAAGCATCTTCCTAGAAAAAAACACCGTGATTAAATTTTTTAAGTTTAATTATTCCTCCTTAATTTCACTTCTACGTTAGATAAAACAGATACAAATGTATTTGTGCAAATTATCTTTAAAAACATAGTATGGCTTAAATTAATCAACTATTTCTCTATCACAACAGACAATCACACTTCAGTCATTCTTCTGTTTCAACCATTGCTGTTAAGTGAACAAACTTACATTTCCAGGAGGTATAAACAAAACTATTCTGTCCCACACAGGAATTAAACAGTAGGATACCTTTGAAGCAGATTAATTTCTAGGGATTCTGGTAAAGACAATACACATCAATATTTCAAGACTTAAGTTCTTTGGGACCTACCCTTTCCCTTTTCATAGTAGAGCTTTGTTATAGAAACCTTATCTGACTTGGAGGACTATCTAGAGTTGAGCACCATATGCTCACTCTTTCCTACATACACAAAGTAAAAATCATGCAAGCTCAAAGTATTTTTTTTAATAAATCCAGCCAATGATTTCTTATAACCTCTGTCTTAAGAGATCACAATAAAATACATTTAAATACCACCATAATTAAGAAAAACAAAGTAGTCATATATAAAAGTATGAAAACTCAAAGTTGCTGGTGTGCAGAAATTACAATGTTTCAGAGAAAAATGTCCTGCTTAACAACCATTCCCAGCGGCACAGACACGAAATCATCCTGCAAGTCATATCACCAACCGCTCATTTCATTCACATTAGTGACAAGAAGAACATTTGCCAATTATAAGTCTACAGGTTTACTTGTTGGTAGCAGTTGAGCCTTTCCAATGGGATTTTTTGGAGAACCTTTGTACCAGGCCCTTTCTCTTTCTGGTGGCTTCCTAATGACCCTGCTTTTTATCCCAGGAGAAAAGCCCATATTGCTATTTACAGCAGATTTTAAATCATGATTAGTCAGGTCATCCAAGGGAATCTTAATTTGGCCACCAGGTTTGACCTCCTGTTCACAAACTCTAATAGAATGAAGAGAAGCATTCACAGACTCTGGGTACGTCTTCATTTTTGAGGAAGATTTAGAAGTCAGCTCCATGCTTGATTTTGAAGTTGCACCCATGTTTGACTGTCCACTTGATGGTGACTGCTGCTGGTTAGGACCTGATTTAGCACAGGATGCTGAGGGCTCTTTTGACGTACAAGAGGGAAGAGCACTGTCACAGCTCACAGATTTAACCAGAGGAGAAGCAGCATCAGTGAGACCTGCCAACTTCCGCCTTACAGGTTGTCTGCTGTACTCCAACAAGGAATTAATTCTTCTGACAGACTGACGTACAGGCGTACGTTGAAACTTAAGAGGTGACTTCACTTTTGTTCTACTTGGTTCATTTAAAGAAAGCTTATTAAACCATTGAATGTGATCTGAAACCTTTCCATGCTCTGACATTGGTAAACTTTCAGAAACTGTTTTATGGCATGTTTCCACCAGTGACTGCTGTTTAGTGATTCTCCTGGGCCTGGATTTTGGGAGGTTTATCATATTACAGGTACTCTGCGGTGAGGAAGAGGACTTGACCTTGTCATCCTTGGGAGCTGCAAGTTTCACTTCATTTTCTCTGATCATATTCTCATTCTCTTCTGACACAGTACATGGTTTATCCCTTGGGGACTGCTTACTTTGTTCATCACTAGGGAATTCATGCTGGCTTACATCATCTTTTGGTATTTCTGAAGGAATGTCCTTTTCTGAGTACCATTTCATCATTGCTTCTCTACCAAATTCTTGAGTGTGATGTGGCAAGAGTTCTCTTTCTGAACAAGAATTTTCATCCTTACCAGTACAGATTTCTTGCTTTTGCTCAGATTCTCCTACTGCCAAATCATTTATTTCAAGTAGAACTTTCTCTGGGCTATATTCCACATCAGATATCTCGTTCAATTCTTCTTCCCCTGCATTAATTGCTGATGATGACCTGTGATTTATCAATGCATGAAGCTGACTTCCAGACTCAGAAAACGCTTTCTGAATTTTCACCAGGGTCTCTGTGGTCAGGTGACTTTCATCCCCACTAAGGGAGCTTCCCATCACAGTGCTGTGAGGCTGGCTGTGCAGAGCACAAGGGGTGTGCTCACAGGATGCAGCTGGTGACTTTTCACCCACAATGCCAGCCTCCAGAGAAAAGTTTTCCATCCCAAGATCTCTCGTTACCAGAGAAGCTTCACCTGCATCCATTTCTTGAAAACTTGAATTACTGGGTCCTGTCCAAGATATCCGGTAACTTGTCCCATCTATTCGCTCTGGAGTTAGTAAGTTTTCCTCAGATTTACTCATCTTTTTTGAACCTAAAATGAAGTATTCAGTGCTTTTAATACTTTATATTTGATCTAGTTTTGAAATATTACCCACACATGGCAAGTAAGGGTATAAGCATTCACTTCCAGAAAATTAAACATCTGTGTTGATGTCAAATATTTTCATATGCGCATTTACAAGCACCCTGCAACTGTTGATAGAAAAACACATTACTAGTTCAGATATTTTCACCATTCAAACATGAACTTCAAGCTTCTAGAACACCAAGTTACTTAATCTACCTCATCATTAAAAAAGCAAATAAAGACTTGTGGGCAAAACTAACAGTGTCATGCAAATGTACCTTTCTTTGGTAATCTTTCATCAACATCTGGGCTAAAAAGTAGGCCTGTTTTTACAGATTCAATTCTATTTTTAAAATTTTGTTGATTTGCAAGTCGCCGACCAACATTTTCATATCGATTGACACCAGAACATCCATTCTGTACAGAAAAGAAAAATGGAAGATGTTTTTGTTAAATAAACCTAGTCAATTCAAATTACTAAAGACAATATACATTTTTATAGGTTCCAACATCAACAGCTTTAAAAAAGGTAAGTAATAATTAGAACACAATTTTATAACAAACACAGATAATCTTGCCTGCTAAGGTATAGGCATTTGGTGATATTGTGTGATGTAAAAACAGTGCCATATTTTCGCTAATTAAAAAATATCTTTTTGTGCTGTCTCTGCAGGGCCTGTTAACAAATAGTGGGGTAAAAACGTTTAAAATCTCATCATCATACAATTTACATTCTAGATGAGGTGATTTGGATCAAAGGAAAAAAAAACTTATATCACACGAATACAATACTCAAGTAAAAAGTGCTAAGGAGAACAATAAAACAGGAAAAGCATGGAGTTCAGGGTGGGAATGTGGTTTTACATGGGGTGATGAGAAGATGGTTGGTGAGTAAAGACAAATAAGGGCAGAAGCAATGAAGACTTAAGTGAGAACATTTCGGGGAGAAGGAAAGCTAGTACAGTCTCTGTAGTTAAATGAGGTCAGGCACATTCTGCAAAAGGCAATGAGGCCAGAAAATGCAGCGAGTGAGCAAGGGAGAGTGAGGCTACTTTGATTTTTATTCGGAATGCAGTGAGTCATGGAAGGCTCTCAACAGGACAGGCCTGGCCTAGTGAGGGTTTTAAAAGGATCGCTTTGGCTACAGTACTGCAGCAAGGGTGGAAGCAGGTAGACCTGTTATCAGGGGCTTCACTGCAGTATGCAGCTGAGAAAGAACAGAATGAAAGTGGAAAAGTGGACTGGCGAGAACTGGTTAGCTTGGAGATGCTTCAAGAGCAAGAGTCAGTCAGGCTTTTCATGTACACTAGATACACACAGATATGGGACATGAGAAGGTGATCAATCAAGAGTGTGCCACGGTTTTCTCCTAAGTGACTGGAAAAATGAGCTGAATTGGGCAGACTGCAGGCACACCTGTGGCTTGATGGAAGAGATAGCAGCAGCAGAAAAATGCATGTCAGGGACTATATTTGGGACAAGTGACACCTGAGTAAACATCCAAGCAGAGAAGTCTAACAAGCAGAGATAAGAAATGGCTGAGAACAAGGGTGTAGCTCAGAGCACAAGTAGAATAGTACATGCTTGGAGAAAAAAAAAGGGAGAGAGGAAGGGAGAGAAGAGAGAAAAAAGGGCAAGAAAGGAAGGAGGCAGGGACAAAAAGGAAAGAAGGAAGAAAAGGAAAAAGAAGAGAAAAGAGGGGGAAGGAGGAGGAAGCTAGGTTTGTTCAACGGCGTGTTCTGGGCTGGAGAACTTAACTTGGAAGTCTTAAGTAAATAGATTAAATTTGAAGCCAATTATTTCCTCAGTCCAAGGGTTAAGCTTTGGGTACTCTGTTAAAAAAGAATTTGAAAAGTTATCAGTGAAAAAGCAAGGAAAGAAAGTACACCAAAGAGGACTGGGTGACTGGCTGTTTCAAATAGTAACAGGTCACACCCAGTGAGGATTGACAGTGCTTGATCATTGGTTGGGGCAACCTTGAATTCATGGGTGACCTTGAAGAGAACAGTTTCAGGGGAATGTTGGACCAAAGCGTAGCTATAAAGAACAGCAGAGACCCACACTAGCTGGAAGGCAGAGCTGGTTGAGAGGGTCTTTTAGCTTTATGCTAACTCTATGCGGGTTAGATCAGATCATTAATAGATCAGAGTGTTGACACTTACTGCATCTCTGCTACTTTTCCCCAGACTAAATTTCAGACGAAGGGATCTTCGAACCTTTTCTTTACGACTGATTTTAGGAGAGAAGCATCCTGCTTTTCCTGATTCTACCCTAAAGAGTGGAATTTTAAAATGTTACTTTATAATATAAATATCAGAAATTCTTACACCATGAAATTTGAGAACGTCCACAGAAGCAAATCATATTGCTAGTAACTGAAAAAGAATTAAATGTTAAAGTTACTTAAGTCACTCATAAACCAGAATTATTAGAATAGACTAACTTTAAAAACTAACAGGAAAATTTGAAATTATACCATCAACATAAAATAAGATTTTAAGGAAGCAAAGTAGACTCAAATTAGGCATTTCTTCCCTGGTTGGTTTGTGAAGGGAACCTGATTAATAAGAATATAGAGACTGAGGATTTTTGAAATTATGATTCAAATGATTCTTGGTAGAATGACAAAATATCTTGCAGAGAATCTTATTTCAATCATATGGTATAAAAAATACATATATAATCAAGTGTTTAGCCAATGAAAACAAGATGTCCTAGATAAATTACCTGCAAACTTTTTTGCCTGCAATCCTTTTACTCCGCCTTAGCACATCTGTACCGATCAAATGGTTGCCACTGATGGCTACAGGAGAGAGGGAACTCTGAGATGACCCCTCTGGGCTTGTTTCAAAGTGAACTATAAAAAACAACATGTAATATGTCACACATACTTATTTTCTTTTCAAAGGGTAAAATAGTAATAGCAGCAATTAGATTTAAAGCCTTAATTTTCATCCCAAAGCGAAAAGAAAAATCACACAATTTCTGGTTACCAGTTTTAAGGTGTCAAATAACAGACTCAACTAAAAGAGCCATATTGGTCTCTTACTTTTTAGTTGCCAGTTAAAGGTTAGAGTAAGCACTACTGCTTTTGCTTTAAACTCTTACAGTAATTCAAAGAAGAGAGGGACACTGTCAAATGTTTTCGAGCAAGCTGTGGAAACAGAATGGATTTTGCCTTATCATTTACCAAATGGCATTAGACTATGAAAATAAATTCTTTGATGAATATAAATATTATTGCTAAGTATCCAATATATTATCTGGTAAAAAATGTTAATTAATGCAATTATAAAAAGTAAACTATTGACAAGCTCGAGTCTGAATATTCTGGATGCACCTCCGAGCCAACTGTTGTCCCAATGACTCTGGAGGGTAATTTGTTCAATATTTTTTTTGTCAAGTAAATAAAAACTAATTATTCATGACACTGCCTAACCACTTTGCCACTACCATGTTCCATGAGAACAATCTATGGTTACAACAGAGCTCAATTTAGTTACTGAATATTGTTTATATCATGAAATCAACCATAGCAAAAAAAACTATGAAAAACAAGTTATGAACAAAGGCTCCATACACATTTGACTTACGTTGGAATCATACCCAATACACACTCAACAAACATGAGCTCTCGTAATTCATCAGTTATTGATAAAGAATTCACAAGTTCCCCAAACTGAGATATTCGTGAGATATTTTTGGTTATCAAAAACAAAACAAAACAAAATCATACTGACTTTTGGGCGCACTTGCTAGAGAAAATTTTGGAGGCCAACATAATATATTCAATGAGACACAGCTTTACCAGCTTTATACTAGGCTTCAGTCTAGTCATCTTGAAAATGTACCAGTGGCCATAAGGAGGCATAGTCAGCATGCAGAACAAAGTAAATTTATCATACAAACAAGAAAAACACTGTAAGTAGGTACCATAAGGACTATAGATTAGTGCTGCTGCTTTCATTCATTAAGAAAAGTAGGTATCTGTTACAACCCAAATTTAGAAACCAACCTGTTTTCAACCTTACAGTTGGAATTTACCGAATTGTGACCGAGAATGTGCAATCAAAGAAAAATGTCAATTAGAATGACAACAATATTACTGTTATTGAACGTTTAAACATTTTTTATAAAGAAAATTCACGGTCATACAGGCCCAAACTAAGGTTGAAACACCACCACAATGTTTTGGAGGAAGAAGCAACAGGTTCATTCGTAGGAAGATGCTGTAATGCTAGTAAGAAAGGGCCTAAAATTCACATTTGCCACTTGGAAAGTCTTCCAAACTGGAAAGAAAACATGAATTTACATTAAAGGACTTTAAGTTTCCAACCTCTGACTACCAAAGACCTGTAGATGGAAACACCAGACTTCTTGTGATTACACTTTAATAAGGCACAGAGCACCTATGAAGAAAGGCTTCTCTTCTGGAAAAGCTCAAGTTGATATTCTGTCAACTTGAATAAGGAAAGCCTGAGCCTTTGAGTAACAGAAACCAAAAAAGACACTTTGGAGAAGAAGAGCTCACAACTGAGCTATTGTGTCCTCAGTGAAACTTTTAACACTGCCTAAAACAAGTAAGAATCTAAAAGAACCAGAGATCACTCACATTTTGATTAAATGTGAGACACACATGAAATGGACTTAGTTACAGTTTCATTTTTGCTTAATCATAAATGAACCAACCTGTATTCTATGCATGCTAAAAAAAATTGGCCAACTCTAAAATTACAGTAACAAAAACTTACATTCAATAGAGAGGATTCTGAGTGTTCGTAAAACAAGGAATGATAAATGTTGGAAATGACAACCAGTTACCCTGGTCTAATGACTACACACCATGTACATGCACTGAAATGTCACTGTACAATTACTATTTGTCAATTAAAGATAATAGGCTGAACTTGAAACAGATCTGGTGACCCTTTCAGAACAGTATAAACAAAGTTTTAAAGCATTCATAAAAAGTACTTGAGAATAAAACTCAAAAATATGCCCCTTTCCAAAACTGTAACAATGGTAATATTCTCAGTCACTTCTGACAGTCTCAACTGAAGAGCACGCAGTGACAGTACCAGGCTGCGGCCACAGCAGTAACCAAGGCAGGATTCCAATGCCCCATCACATAAAACCCCAGCACCAATGCCTTCCACAGAAGCCCAAACTCTCACCAAGTTACTTATCATCACTTTCAATACACATGGCCATAAAACATATACTTATAAACACTAAAACACTAGTTGTATTAAACCAGTATTTACTTTAAGGCAGGGATTTTATAAACATTCAGAGATTTGATAAGATGATAAAGTTCTGGCCCTGAAGGGCATTATTAATCTAATGAAGCACTTCGCTGAAAAGACATTCATTTTAATGTTTATTACCCAATCCTATAAGTTCTATTTGCTACCTGACACTGGTGTAGAACTGCTACTGAAGAGAGTGCTCGGCAACAGCTCAAAATTGAAGTTGTGCTTGACAGACCTCCTCTTCTTACTTGAGAAGCCATGAGAGGAATCCACTGGCAGCTTACGCTTGGCATTTGGAGTGAGAATCATGGGTGACACAGATGGCTGGACTGAAAACAAAACAAAGCAAAGCAGACCAACCAATTTGCTGTTTCTCCCTGAGTTGATAAAATATAAAAGCTTTATTCAATTTCTTCTTATAAAGCTATTACATAAAGCATAACCAAAAAATGTAGGATATGGTCCATTATTTATTATGTTAGATAACTACATCAACACTTTGAAATTACTTAAAATGAAAATAGCAAAGTTGCAAAGACTCTTAAGAAGCAGTAGTGACCTAAACTAGATCAACTAGAAGAGGCCCACAGCACTCGAGAGATTACAGTAAAGGCTGACTGGTGAGCACTACACTTGCTGCTCCTCACACTACTTCACTTCTTCACTCTGAAGCAGGTGGTCATGCTGTCTTCAAGTGAGTATGTTCTGACACAATGTACAGTAATACATTCCTGGCTCTGAAACAAATGAGGGTGAGCTACTTTCACATGTTCAATAGATCCAACCTCAAGCAACTGGCTGAAAATCATCATAAAGAAAATTAAAATATGCCCACAGACTACAAATTCTCACCTATAATTTTGGGTTCATTTTATCTAATGTAATCAGCAATGACACAATTAGTATACAAATAGTACAAATAACTCCATGGAAAAATTAGGATTTGATTAAATTTAATAACTAAAATAATTATTGTAACTATTTTTTTAGATTACTACAGCAAAGTTCATTGAAATAGGTACATATAACACCTACCAGTTCTATCCTGTTGAGGGGTAAAAGAGGGTGTTCTGCTGGATTTAAGTTTATTTAGGGCTCCATTAACAAAATCTGAAATGCAAGGTGTATACAATCACATAAGCAATTAAACCTCAACTTCTACCTGCCTTTCACCAATACTGGTAGTCTTTTAACCTCTAGCTTTCTGTCAGCTTACACACTTTATTTCAACATAGAAAAAAAATAGGGGTGTAGCAGGGAGAGGAAGGGGGCAGGGGGTAGGGGGGAGAAATGGCCCAAACAATGTATGCACATATGAATAAATGAATAAAGAAAATAAATTAAATGAAAAAAAGGCCAATGAATCTGCTGTTATTCCATTCCCCACTTATATTCCCATAGCCCTTAAACAAAGACATAATATAGAAATGAAATATAATGCAAAAATGTCTAATGTATGGAATGAGTACAAAAGAAGGAATCATTTCTTGCTGAGATAAGAAATGAAGGTCTGGACAGAGGCAGGAGAGATAGAAGCAAAGCTGAACAGAGGGATTTAAGAGAGGAAAATGACAAGAATCGGCCATCAGTGTGTGAAAATGGGGAGACAACTAGACTTCCCACTGACGGCTGAGCAGACAATGGAGACACCAAATGGAAAAGGAAGCTCTGTGAGGCATTAGATGTGCCTACAAGACACTGCCGTAGATGTGAATCCATTTGTGGAAAGATCAAGGCCAGAGAAGTCAGTTTGCAAGTTAGCAGCCCAGAGGAGGTAACTGTAAAACATAAGTGAATGAGACCAGTGAAGAAGTGTCAAAAATGAGATAAAATACAAAAAGCCAAAGAGGTAAGGAAGAAAAAACAGCATAGAATCACAAAAAAACAAAGAGAAGAAAAAAACTGAGGAAATAGTTAAGTGATCAGAAATTCTAAATAAATAATAGGCCTAAAAAATATTCTGTTTAGCTATGATGGTGACTTTAATAGTAATAACTTTACACAAAAATGATCCTAATTTTCAGTCACAATGAAACACAAAAGTCTTTTGTTATGTTCATTTCCTTGACTAATCACCAAATGTCACTCAAAATACTAATTTAAATTTAAGTTCAGACAAAGACTCATAGACAGGTGCAAAAAATAAATCTTCTTTTGCAACCAAGAACTCATTGTTCAATATAAGTTTTGATACATATAAGAAGGTATATGGTATAAATTAATTAATTAAAGTTTGGAAATTGCCTAAGATTTCAGGAGCCCAGTGACACCGTGATTAGATAAGCCTCTGCAACTGTGATTTCTAAGTCACTCAGTGTGTGGTACTTTACTATATAGTACCATGGCCCTAGGAAAATAATACAGAAGTCATGAAAGGAATATACAAAGGAGGCAAAGAAGACAAGAATGCATATGAGCCAAGATGAAAAGGAATGAGACAGTTAACTGGTTCTGACCCTCAAAATATGAGACATTTCCTAAGGAAGAGGAATGGTCTATCTTCTTCACTACAGGAAGTAAGAAATCTTATCCATTTCACCATAATGTAACTTTTGGTCTTTCTGATTCTTCCTCCGTAATATTTCTTCCATTCTTAAGTTGGCACTTCTAACTAATTCACGTGGCTAACTAGTTCAAAGATCTCTCACCTGTATTATTGCTATGCATTTTGGATCATTCTCCCTACCTCCAAGTCACAATTCCTCAAATCAGATCATTTTCTAAAATACTTTCATCATGTCAGGCCTCAAGTTACAAACCTTGGATGGTTCACCAACATCCAGGTTAACATTCTAATTCTTTAGCCTGGAGTCAGACTCCCATGATGCCACCCTGATCCAGATAGTGAGTCCTTCACTCAGGTCGCACTGGTCTATCTACAGACAGACACAGATTACTTCCTCCCTGCACAATTCTTTCTCCACAGCATCCTTCTCATCTCCTGCACCCAGTTTCCCTGCATTCTACCCATTCTTCAAGAAGGCTCAATTGGGTGGTGGGGACATAGTTCACAGGTAGAGTATGTATATGGCATGCACAAAGCCCTATGTTTCATCCCCAGCACTGCAATTAAAATCAATCAATAAAAAGCTATCTTGGACGAGTTCTTGACAATTATGACCCAGGGAACGTTTCTCCTTTGAACACATTTTATGTTTGTGGTGAAGATTTAGCACTTATTATCAGACTCTATTGTCACTTTAACTTTTAACACAATCATGTCTTATTTTTCCAATTATGCTGTAATCATCGAAAGGCACCTACCATAGCTTATGCTCATGTTCAAATGCATTTTATATAAAAGCAATCCCCAGCACCTCCCTAAAATGAGACCGAAACTTACCTCCCACACTCTGTCTCCGCCTTCTCTTGTATTCACCAGGAGTCTCGTATTCAGCTTCCTCAAAGCCCTCTAATGATGGAGTAGCACAGAGACCATCCATTCCCAACATAGCTGGCATCTTTTCCAGGATAAAATCTGGTACACGGCCTAGATGAAAGTGGACATAAAGATAATTATTATCCGTCCTTAATCCCCTCAAATGTGTAGATAGTAATGTGCCAACTTTCTAACTGCTGTCCTCACGGTTCACTTGAAGAAGCTGGGTCCTCCCTCATTTAAACAAATCCCATTACTCAACAACATAGCTACAGCTTACCAATATCCAGTGCACAGTCAATAAGGGTCTGGACCACTGCTGCCTGTAATCGTAGCTTCTTTTCTGTGTTAGCAGACATCTTCTCATGTCCTTCGCTTGTCTGAAGAAGATTTGGTGCAAATATGACTGCAAGATTGCTACTATCCATCTTATTCTCACTAGACCTTCGGTGAAAAAAAGGTTTATTACGTGAAAGAAAAGGTCAGAGTACAGAAGGCTAAAACAGACTGAGCACATTTTGAAGACCTCTTACTTTATCAACCACATACAAGTCAAAACAGTTACCTCTCATCTACCCATATTCATAATCATCTTGAACATAAGGGAAAGAAAGAAAAATAAAAAAGGAAAAAAAAAGCACTAAGGGTGGTACAGCCTGTCTACTATGCAGAAAGCCCTCAGTCTGACACCCAGCACCACAAAACAAGTCAACAAAGCACACAAGAACCAAAAACATATGGCCTTTCTATACTTAAATATATATGACAAAATCGTGCTAACCAGAGTCTACACTTTTGCTTTTCTGCATAAATTAAACATGTTTATTTGATTTTCAAAGTCATGCACAGAAAACTGGAAGTATTAGAAGGTGGCAAGTATGTATAATGAAACAAGTGGACTCACTAATAGATTAGAGAGGAAAATTTAAAAAGCAAACCACAAGTATTCCAAAACACATGGTCAGCATCCACACAGTAGATAATGAATTTTGAAAACTAATAAGCTGTTAAGACATTCACAATGCTAATTCTAAAAATCACTAGGTAGACTTTTTTATTTTTTGCGGTACTGGGTTTGAACTCAGGGCCTTGTACTTGCTAGGCAGGTGCTCTACCACTTGAGCCATTCCCCTAGCCTTCAGGTATACTTCTTATAGTAAGGAAATACCATTTAGAAAAATTTCCATTTCCAACAAAATTTATTATCGTAAATCTTTAGGTAATAGAGAAATTTAACTCATTTATCAAGACTTTTAATTACCACTTACCTAAGAGAAACATTCCTGAGGAAGTTAAAGAAGTATCTTAATACATCAACTGTATGGTCAGCCATGAGACAGGAGAGCAGTAACGTAGCTTTGTTCTTCTCTGTTCCCAGCTGCTGAGCTTTGAAAAGAGCTTCATGCAGCTCGGCTGGGAGAATGGGTTCTGGCAATTCCCGAAAGAACTGCTTGAGCAGCCCTGCAATGTCACAAGGAAGCGCAGAAGACAGGCGGCCTTCACCCTGGTCCAACTTGCTCTGAAACAAATGTGGCAATACTGAACATGCAGCAGGCTTAAATTAAGAGTTTGCTGCAAGTGCAGTAACATTTATCATGTCATCAGTAAGTTTTCTTTCATAAGCTCCTTCTAACTCTTGTTGTGATATATATTACTGCTTTTCAGAGGGCAAAAAATAATTAAACTGAAAAAATTTTCATTTCATATATTTCATATTTCATTTGTAAGAATAAGTACCATGAATTTGCAAGTATTCTATGAACTTTTAAAGCACTGCCAGGAGAAATGTTATTTGCAAATTCAATTTCTGGCTACCAATTTCTATAAAACCAAATCAGAAAATGGCATACATAAGAAAGTATAGCTGAAAACTATGCTTACCTTCAGTGCTTTTAGACGAGTAACTGATCCTGACTTTCTAAACAGCCCTTCTGTGTGGATATGTGCTTCTAAAGATGTACATGCATCAACAAGAAAGCTGCAAGAGACATGTTTTCAGTGCCAGGCACACACTGTACCACACCCACTCACCTGCAAAGATACACACTGCACCCTTTCCTAAGCTAAAATTTAGCATCCTCCATCCTTGTGACAAGTCTACTTTCAGTTGTCCTCCTTGTGTCCTACCACGCCCATCTTTTTACTCATACACACTTCAATGTGCCTGCTCCATTCTTTGCTTTCCCTCACAGCATGACGTGCCTTGATGATTATCTCCACTCATCGCCCCAGTCCCTACTCAGTCCTTTCCTATCAGACATCCATTCTCACTACGCCACCACCAAAATAGCTCCCTCAAGGGTATGCATGGCCTTTGCTAAATTGAGTCAATCACCTTCTTTACACTGCTTGACCCATCATTCAACACAACCAGCCCTTCCTCTGCATACAAATACTCTTTTCACTACTCTTCTCATGGTTTCCTGCTACCTTCTTCATGGCTCCTCTTCTCCTGCCTAATGTCTACGTGGTAGATGACCTGGTAGTACATACCTGGCTTTAAATACTTATCATCTGCTACACTTGCCCAAAGCTACGGAAACGCTTTTCTCACCCCAACATCATTCCTCAGGAAAGCAGGGTGCAGCGCAGTCCTTGCAATCCTTCTCATATTAAGGGGTGTGTGCTCAATTTTTTATTCTGAACAATAACCTCAACGAATGTTAGCTTTATATACTTATATACTCAACAGCTGGTACCAACAAATTAGAATGTATATCAACAAATGATACAGCTGTACTGGTGCATAGTGGCTGAATGTCAGCCCTGCACACAGATAGTTTGTATTATTTTTTTAAACAAGGTCAAGAAATTACAAAGATTTAGTCATTTAGACTTTGCAATTCCAAGTGTTTAAAGCTATTACTGGGTTAGCATAGACAAAATGAACCCGACTTTGTATGGAGGGGAAGTTACAGTATGGGTAGAAGGCAGCTGCTTCCATGCCTTTAAAGACATCCTCTTAAGGCAAACTTTCTGGTAATTTCTGATGCAGTTAGTCCAAAGGTTATTTGTTAATAGTAAATGGCAAAGAAAAGCTCACGTATTACATGTATATCCACAATACTCCTACCTTAGTTTATTCTTTTATTCAATAGTTCTTAAAGAAAAAATATCAAAATTATTACTGAATTGATAACTTAATATATTATTTAATCTGAATCATGGCAAAAGAACTGGTGTAGAACTGAAAACTCTATGTTAACAGAAAAATAATTTGATTTCTATTATTTACTCATTACTGGGTATTAAAATTCCATCTTGGAAAAGAGTACAAATTACACATTTAAATTATTCTTCCCTAATATTGAGAGGAAATAATCTGCTAATTTGAAACAAACGTGCATATTAACTAATCATTTATTTTTAACCTTCTAAAACCAGTTTGATATTTCTCTTCATTTCAAACTCTGCTTACCTTGGGATGTATCCATATTCTGGGACCACAGAATGAGGCAATGCATTAAAAGGTACTCCAAATATTTTACCCTAAAATGATAAATTCATTTACTAAAACTCTAGGCATAAAATAAATTTTCTTAAACACTGGGCAAATTAAAAATATTAGGAAAAAAGACCTCAGAAATAAATTTAAAGCAAGCAATTGAAACAAACAAATATTTCAAATCCACTTGGTAAGAAGTAACTGCTCTCATTAGACCTTGTGCTAATTTGGGAGCATAAGGACAGCCAAAGTCCTCACTGCCCTCAGACAGTCCACCAAATCCAGCTAGCCTCTAATTTGATTGTGGAAAATCAATAGTTAGTGCTTAATAAATTCTTAAACAGAATTTGGCCCAGGATTTTAGCATTCCTCCAAAATACTATAGATTCCTCCAGTGAACTCATAAGTCCTGACCTTACTTATACTTTCCTTTGGTCCCCTTACAAACACTAACTTCACCTTACAAACACTAACTTGCACAAAGGCTAAGTGAGTTGATAAGCAAAACTGTACTTCCTGTCACTAAATTAAGTACTTCCTGAAATACTTCAGAAGCGGTTATTTTTACACCTGTTATCTCTCTACAGAAGAGTACTTTTCAAGCTCCGTACTAAGAGATCCAGACAAGGATTCTACAAACATTTAAGAGAAATTTCATTTAACTACTTTGAAAATCATTTTTTAAAATGCACATTCAAATTTTAATCCACTGAGGATCCCAAGATTAAACTGTGCGCTGGTTGACTTGAGTGTTTTTGCACACTCAAGCTTAAATAAGGTGCCACTACCCTTGTACCTGTATTTGAACTTCTCAGAAAGGTGTCATTAATTAAGAAGGTTGTAACTTTGCACTATACTGAAAAACTCAAGCATTTATATACCTGCATATAGAAATTAGGTGGGTATACCTAAAAATCTCACAGGTTACATTAGCTTGGATGTATCTGCTCTGCATAAATGCTCTTCAAACACTTATGACTAAGAACGTTTTTATTTACTCTTACATTCATAAAAAGAAACCATTAGACACGCTAATGACTTAGCACAGCAACAGAACTTTACCAGTCCTCTTGCAAGCCCCTGGCTTCGTGCACTTGGTGAATACTCCAAGCTGAAAAGATGGCACAGGATAGGGGCAGAGCTTAAGAGAAGAGGCTCCTCTAGGCAAGGCTGCCAGTGTTCAACGCTGGCTCTTGCACTATCTGAGCAACCTTGGTCACATTAAAATCCTCTGTCCCTCACATAGATCTTAAGCCACAGAGCTGTAGAAAGAATTAAATGAATTAAACATGTAAAACTCCTATCAGTATCCAACAAAGAGTAGGCATGCAAAGAATATTTGTTATTGTTTTACGATGGATAAAAAATATTCGTATGGGCAACTCCTTTATTTGCACAAATCAGAATTTTCTTGATACTTTGCAAACAAACAAAATACAAAAATAAATCAGACTCGAATGCTAATATAAGCCTACAACTGTCATACATAACTAGAATTTAGGATTTTCTCCCCTTATTTTTAGTAAGTGGCTTCATAAAGAACTATAATTTTTGGGGAGCTGGTAGAGGTGCAACTGGGGACTGAACTCAGGGCCTCACACTTGTTAGACAAGCGCTCTACCACTTGAGCCACTGCCCCAAGATCTTTTGCTTTTAGTTTGTTTTTTTGGGGGAATGGGTCTCATACCAACATCAGTCCTAGAGCCTCCTACTTCTTCCTCCAGAGTAGCTAGGATTGCAGGGATGCATTATCATACCCAGTCCTTCAACTGCTGCAATTTAATCTCAAAAAATTGCAGGCATTTTACATTTTATGTATTAGAATATTTAAAAAAAATTACCAATACTTTTCTTTAAAACCTCAAGAACAACTATTAGCTAACAAACACCAGAGCTATCCTGTTAGGTCATACACTTGTAACACAATGCTCTCCTGTATTTCTTCATTAGAATATTTTATTAGTGTTTCTAGGTGAATTTATACAACACAACTATTGATTATAACATAACAACTGTCATTAGCTGAGTAAGTCCAAAGTGGCAGGCACTGTGCTAAGCCTACCACAGACTTTCCTGATTTTTTTCAATCCCCTGCACAATCTAAGGCCAGACACCATCCACAACACTTTTAGAGCAGGAAACTGAAGCTTGGTGAAATTAAGCCAGCAGCCCATGTTCACAAATTAACGGTAAGCCAGATGTAAACTGAGGTCTGTCTGACTCTAAGGCAAGTGTCAGGTTTTCCTGTTAAGAGGTGAAAGAAAAAAAATCCATGTACAAATTCTTCCATGAACTAACAAAACCAGTTATACTGAAAATCCTGGAAAGCCAGTTTTTCAACCAGAAATAACCACTGTAATTTTTAAAAATAAATAAACATACTGCTATTAATTTGCAAACAAAAACAATTCCTCCAGAACGTATAAGCTGTCAAGAGTATCGGAGTTTTCACTGCCAAGTCATTTTTTTTTGAAAAGTATAAACTAAGAACTAGGCAAATTAAGCTGTTAGTTTTTGTCTCCAAGTACTAGGAAGTAGCAATAAATTAAGCATATACATTTAAAACAAGGTTCCTTATATTCAATTTATTTTACTTTTCACAATGAAATTCTTGATCATATTAAAATCTCACTCACAATCCCCTTATCGCCACAGCCAAAACATCATCAAACGCTTTGCAATCATTTCACTCTGGCTTCTCAATTTGCTCATTCAAAAAAAGCCCAAAAACAAAAAAACAAGGAAGCTGTGCCTCAGGTTAGGCATGTGACTAAGTGCCCAGCACTCAAGGCCCTGGATTCAACCCCAGCACCAATAGGGGTGTGGAAGTTTTGTTCTCTCTTAAGTGTCATACGGTCAGGCTGCAGACTTGTTTCCTCACTGATAAATGCAGAAGTATCATCTGAATCCCATTTCTAAACCCGGTAGAAGGTACAGTTTGTCTCCCTCACCATGTATTACTTGCTCAAAACACAACATACTGGCAGCTGGGGATGCAGTTCGGTATCGGTAGCACAGGGCAGAAGCCGGAAGCCCTGGGTTCCATCCTTAGCACCAGAAAAATAGATTGCCACCATCTGGAAAGCATCTCTAGGAAATGCTAGTGGGTAGAAGCCAGGCATCCTACAATTCACAGGACACCCTCCTTTCCCTTGGCCAACAATTACGATTATCTAATCCAAACTCCCAATAACCAAAAGAATGCTATTCTTCAAATAGCAACAAGCTAGATCCACGCACAAGTGAACATTTTAATTGTACCACGATCGGGTCGGCGCAGGGTGTGCCTCCCCCGCAGTTTGTAACCCTAAATCCCCTTTCACAGAGCTTACCCCAGTCTCCGCGGCTGCAGGTTCGCGTCTCCGGCGATCGCATTGCTCACGGCAGCCCTTGACCTTGATGCCGTACACGGCCCGCAGCTGCTGCACCAAGGCCAGTCTGACCAGCCTCGGATCCCACATCCCGGATACGTCGCCCACCACCAGGGGCAGACTCCGGGTCCTCACTCGGGTCCGCCACCAAGTCTTCCAATTTCCGAACGCGCACAGGTTCGCGCCCCGCCCCTCCTGCCTCAGACCACGCCCCTCCCCGATCCTCAATCCACGTCCACAGACCCTCCGTTCCTGGCCCTCCGGCCCAGCCACTCTCCTCCCTTTTTCACTTACGCCGACCCTCAGTCCTCAGCCACCTCCAGTCCTTTCCCTTTCCGCCTCCTTCGCTTCCCAGTACCAACGCCTGTCGCAGCTGCTCACCACTTCCGGCCGCTTCCTACGTAGCGGTTTCCCACACCCAACCCTTGCCCGCTCCGACGTGTAGAAGACCCTTCCGTCCCGTCGCCCCTGCGTCCGTCTCTCGGCCCCAGCGCCCCGGTCACGCCCGGTCCGGCCCGGCCCAGCCGCCGGTCCAGCCGGCTGCTCAGCCTTTTCCCAGTCCCGGTGCCCGCCCGGGCTGGTCGCCGCCGTCACCCCGTTTCAAAGGCGGCTACTGCTCTCCTCCATCAGCCTTCCTGTGGCCCCGGCCCACACATCCTGGGGCGCTACTAGAACCAAGCAGCTCCCCTCATGCCTCCGCCCCACCTCCTCCGCGGACACCCGAACCACCACAGAGGCAGCCCGGCTCAAATGGCAGCGCCAAACAGCGACTCCGCATCTGATTGGTCCGTTCCTCTTTTCAAAATCAGGACCATGAGGGGTGTCCACGGGACTGCCTGTCTGGGGAGTGCTGAACAGGATGGGAAAACCTAAGAACTAGGAAAAAAGAAAAGTGAGTTTCACTTGATCTTTGCCTTTTTTCTGAGGAAAATACTATTTAAAGCGTTTTCGAGTATTCCCGGTTTGAGCTTCAGAAAATCTATTTGGGGAAATGCAATAGACACCTCAGTTCTGCTTCCGGCCTCGGCAGCAGCAGAAGGCCCTATTACCGAGAAAAACCGATTCTACGGAACGCGGGGCGAGTCAACTTCAGACAGGATTTCAGCAGCCCGGCAGCACGCTATGGGAGCTGGTCTTTATTAGGGGTGGAATGGCTGTGTTCTGGTTCTGGCATAGGTGACATCATGAGAGGGGAGTGCGCGGAGGCGCTGCAGCAGAAGCCTCAAGACGCGGGGTTTAGGTTAGACCTGCCGCCCGCACCGCGAACGCCCTGGCGTGGGGCCGACGCTCAGGACCGTGCCCTCCCGGTCCCTGTCCGCCCAGGCGCGCCCCAGCAGTGCCACACCGGTGTCTGTCCCCTGGGAGGCCGGGACTGCGTGCAGACACATTGCATGCAGTTGTCACCTCACCTGCGCACGCCCAGGACGGACAGCGACAGAACGCCGCCTGCCTTGGGTGCTGTCGCATGCTCCCGCCCGCGTGCGGAGACGATTCCTGAGAATCGTGTTGCTCCCTTAGGGGTTCGAGGTCTTAGTTATTCTTCCTTCCCCCATCTAAGAGCACGTCTGGGGCTGGGGGCCTGCCTGCCCACGAAGCACCAAGCCCCAATACCAACCAAAATAAATTTAAAACATGTGAAGTCTCTGAGTGAAGAGATAGGAGCAAAGGGAAGTTGGACATTTGGGTTATTTTTGCAAGAGAGCAATGCGTCTGTTCCGTAGTGCAGAATGAGAGCAAAGGCGAACGGTGCGGGCCACAGGAGGGAAAGGGGACATTCACGGATGGGGACAAGTGCACTAAGGAAAGGCACAGGATTCTGTGGCGGTCAGTAGTGCAAGAGCCTTCACGGGGAAGAGCCCCGTGCCGATGACTAAGCGACCTGAAGAATCAGTAGAAATGAGCTGTGTGCAAGTGAGGTGAGATGGGGGTGTAGCCAGCATGCAGGGGGCAAAGGCCGCCATAGAAGCCATGAAAGGTGCATTCGAGATGGAAAGGAACCCATTCTCCTTGCTTCAGACAGAACTGAAAAATAACTAATGTGTCTGCAACCTCACCCCTTCCCCAAACGTCACATTGCTCCCGGCTGTAGAAGACTCAGCTTTCCTTTTCTGAAAGAGCAGGATCTCTTTTATTTCCTAATTCTTAAAAAATATTTTATTAGTTATATTAATTGCACGAAGTGAGCGGTTTTACTGTGATATTTCCATCCACGCATATATTATACTTTGATCATTTTCACCCCCTCTATTATTACCCTAATCCTAAACTCGGTCTCCCACCCCCACCCCTTTTAAACTCCCTTGCAATTTTTTTTAAAAAACGGATTTCATTATGACCTTCTGAGCTTGGCTTATTTCACTTCCCATGATGATCTCCAGTTCATCCATTGTCCTGCAGATGACATAATTTCATTCTTCCTGATGGCGGAATAATATTCCAGACTACATATATACCACATTATCAGAAAGAAAATATTCTTTATCAGAAAGACAATTTTCAGATCTGTGCTGGAATATGTCTGTGTCCAGGTCCTTTTTTTTTAAAATAGCTGAGCTTTGTCATGTTTTGTCTCCTTTCTCTTATGAAAACATTGGTTCTTAATGATATTAATACAATGGCTTACTTTTACTTGCCTCCTTGTACGTATCCACATATACGTGTGTAAGAGCAGACAACAATAACAGAATGAAGAATAACTAAAAGCAGAATAGCAGTAATGCCACTGCTAACATGACTGGTGAATGAGGTTCAAGTTCTTACATGATGCTTTTTTCTTCAGTAACACTCTAGGGATATATATAATCAAGATACAAAGTTTTAAACAAACTGGACATAATTCTTCTCTTTGATTGTAGAACAATGTACTGATAGATATATGGGCTGTTTCTGATCTATTGCTATTTCAAAAGATTCTTTGTGTATGTGTAGCATTCTTTGGTCAATGTATCCTTTGAATAAATTTCTACAAATGGGATCGCTAAGTCAAAGAATAAACAGACATGTTTTGTTTAACACTGCCAAACTCCCCTTATTGGATGGTACAGTTGTATTCACACCAGCAATGACTGAGAGTTCCTGTTTCCCCACAGCTTCTCCAATAGAGTGGATGTTCAAACTCTCAGATTTTTGCTAATTTGATAGGTGACAAATGGTATTTCAGTATAGTTTAACATTTATCTTTTTATGAACAGTGCAGAGCGCCTTTTGAAATAGTGCATGCATACAGTGGAGTAGTAGTATGAAGCTGTGAAGGAACATGGAAGGCAAACAGCTGGAAAGTGAGGTGACAAAAGCAAGGCGCAAATGGTTACTTACTTACATTTTCAAAAAGAAGCACTGCAGTCAGGTGCAATGGCTCATGCTGGTAATCCGAGCTGCTGAGGGGACAGAGATTAGGAGAACCAAGGTTTGAGGTCAACCTGAGACCCCCCCCATCTCGATAATATAGGCATGATGGCAGTGCCTGTCATCCCAATATGTGGAAGGCATAGGTAGATGGGTCCCTGTCTGAGGCTGGCCCAGGGGAAAAGGCCTTATCTAAAAATAATCAAAGCAAAAGTGGCGGGGTGGGGGGGGCCGGAGATGCGGCTTACCTACCAAGTGCAAGGTCCTGAGTTCAAACCTCAGTACTGTAAGGAAGGAAGGAAGGAAAGCACTGGGAAGGTAAACTGAAATGTAATTAAAATGCCCAGGAAGAAGGCAAGAGCAAGGACAGGAGAGGATGAGAACAGGAGTGAGAGCTGGAGTGCTCTGAACAGGTCTCGTTTTATAGTCCAACCTTAGAACCTGTAAACGTTTATCACCTTTAAAATATAAAACAGGAAGTAATTCCTAAAATGGAAAACACCCTGAAACAAATGAACCAGCTTTATCTGTTCAAGGGCGGTTTGTATTTCTTTTAATTTTCTGTTGGGATGGCCTTGTTTTTGTTTTGTTTTTTTAATTTAGAAACTTTTTGTATGTTACCCCTTTGTGATATAAGCTGTACATTTTTGGACTTTTTGCTTTGGTTTTTTTCTCTTTGTTTAAATTGTAGTTAATTAACCTCTTTCCTAATCCTTCTGGACTCTAGTCATAGTGGGAATGTCTCACCTCGCCCAAGGCACAAAGGGTTCACTCATGAAAGCTTGCACTGGTTTTCTATACTAGTGTTTTGTAGTGCTGCCGTTGTTTCATTTTTTTCTTAGGTTTCTGATCTCTTTGGAATTTATGCAGGTGTATAAGGTAAAGAATGGATCTAACTTTATAGTTTTCTATCCAGTCCTAGACGTTTTTATTTTACCTCACTTCAGTGAAGGTTTACCTCTAAAAATAGTCAAACACTACCCACAAGGAAAAGACTAGTCAGTCATCTTTGACTAGAATTGGGCCTTGTTCTTTCTTAGTTGGTACCACTAGGTGGCAGACGTCATTTTCACCCCAGTTCACAAGGTCTCATCTCGCTCCCTTTCCTGTGAATCACTGAGTTTTCTTCATGTCACTGGGCTATTACCAGAGTCAAGGATACCACAGTGGCTTGCTAGATCGTCCTCCAGGATGAGGTGCTTTACCTAGATCCCCTCAGTGCTGAGGTACCTTACCTCAGTCCCCTCAGTGCTGCTATACTTTACCTAAATCCCCTCAGTGCTGAGGTACTTTACCTAGAGAACCCTCAGTCCTGCTGCACTTTCCCTAGATCCCTTCAGTGCTGAGATACTTTCCCTAGATCCCCCTGCGTACTGAGGTACTTTCCCTAGATCCCCTTCAGTGCTGAAGTACTTTGCCTAGATCCCCCTCAGTGCTGAGGTACTTTACCTAGATCTCCTCAGTATTGAGGTACTTTACCTAGATGTCCCTGAGGTGCTCGCTCACAGGTGTGTGTGTAGGTACTGATCCCTCACAGCCACCCCATCTCAGAGCTGTTGTATGGAATGGAGGGAGTTGCTATGCTCCAGATGAAGCCTCTCTGGGCTTCATCTGCCTTTCCTGGCTGACTGATGTTGGGGTTCTGCGCCTGGCTCCCTTGTCACAACTCAAGATGACTAAAGGTTATCTCAGCTGCAGTGCTTCCTCCAGGATCAGATGTCACAGTCCACCTCCATTCTGCCTGATCCTACTTCTTTCAG